TAAAACACAATGTGGATTTGCGGCAAATGGCCCTTTTATATTCTTGCTCTCCTGAGGCTGGGTTAATCTGCACACGTTCGATCCAGTTCCATAAAGGGTAGCAGTGATGGCAGCTTGATAGATATTCTGAAACTCTGCTGCACATGAGGGTCAGACGTCACCGCCACCTCCGAAGAGTCGTTTCGCGCAAAAGGGCAAAAATACAGGCGGTGACTTCCACCTGCTGGCATTAGCGGGCTACGATGGGAAGTTGAACTTGAGTGAAACGTGGCAGTTTCTCGTGGTGACACTCCGTGGTGACAACGTCGTTTGTGTTTTTAATTTTGTCAAAATTTTCAGCTGATCTGCTACTTAACTTTAATTGTGAATTGAAAGTTTCTTGCAGCTTTGATCGTTGTCCTGGAAGGTGATTTTAGGACACGAAAGACCCCGGCATGGAATTCATTTTCTGTCCTTAGCTCCAAAGCCGGAAAAAATTGAGCGGAGACAGCTTCACACTTCCGTGTCTAGCCTAAAGACGTTTTCACACCTGGACACAAGCGGCAAAGCTGTGATGGTGGACATCGGTGCCAAGCCGTCGACAAATCGGGTTGCCCATGCCCGAAGCACCGTCGTCCTATCTCCTGAGATCATTGACCTCATTTCGAAAAACTTGATGAAAAAAGGGGACGTTCTGACGGTGGCCCAAATCGCCGGAATCATGGCGGCAAAGCGGACGGCTGGCTTAATTCCGTTGTGTCATAACATCGCCTTGTCCGACGTCAAGGTCGATCATGAACTGGATTCGAATTCGACTTCGGTTCATTTTTTCAGTACGGTGCAGTGTTGTGCGCAGACCGGCGCCGAAATGGAGGCACTGACGGCCGTAGCCGTAGCTGCGCTCTGTCTTTACGACATGTGCAAAGCCATCTCGAAATCGATAGTCATCACCGACATCAAATTGTTACATAAAAAGGGCGGCAAATCTGATTTCTGATCAACCTAATATCCCTGTTTCTCCTAAAATTTAGAACATCTGTTTTTTTTGGTATGAAACGTTGTGTTGATTTTGTTTCATGAGTTTGTTCCCGTTCGACGCTTGCGAGTAAATCGTGAGTTTCACCTTGAATGACAAATTACATTTTCCTCCATGCAATAGCCTGGGGTCGACCAGAATAGGTTCCGGGTTAGATTCCATTGGAGAGCTACCTTTGTCTTAACTAAAAATTCCATTGGACAACGAATTCACCATACGTTGCTTCAGGTCGGAGAGGGGGAGTTTTCAGTCCGTATAAGAGTCCGACTCAGAACCGAGAAATCTAGGACCCGAGTTCCAAAAGACTACACGGTGTGTTTGCAGCACTATGTTGTCAACACTGCCTGCAATTAAGGAACTTCCTCCCCGATGATGGCATGGAATTATGCACCTCTTCATTACTCTATGAAAAGCATGGTGTCAAAAAAATACTCCATCGATAAAGCGTAAAGTAGATCAATTTTTCAACGACATCGTTATACGGTGAAAAGTTTTTCAGGGGAGAAGAAATCGTTGAAAGACATAATACTTCAACAAATGCGTGAATTTACCATATAATGCATTAACATACATTGCAATTGCATTTGCGGTTTATTGCAGAGGAAAAAAATATGCGACTGTCATGATCACGATAGACTATCAACAAATCACCTAGAAGAAATGCGCCACACGTCATTCCAGTTTAGATATTTCCCAAATTTATCTGTCACCTCAGTGAAACTCAGTAAGAGGCCTGCTACCTCTTTCATCAGCCGTCATAGCTGGTTGCTGAGCGTTAAGTGTTTGTAGTATTCTGAATGTACATGCAAATGTGAAGGCTATTTTAACTGCACCGGTTTTACTTACTGTGATGCATACGATATATTCACAAGTCATATATTTATGCTCTAATGATGCTACATATCTGATAACGAAACTTGTCGCCAATGAAGTTTGATGCTCTGAACAACGGATCACCAGGTTCGTTACAATTCTAACAATTGGCCCAGAATTTGAAAGGATACATTTTAAATCTTTGCACTCAATGTATCTAGTTTACTGTACATTTGCATGACCTGTAGCAATTGTGATAGTTGCAATACGGCGCCGATCTTCATAACGCTGCCATCAGCTAGGATATCAAGAACTTTGTGATGATTACAGTTCATTGACCGAATACTCTTTACTGCTTCAACAGCGTAGCAAAGAATCCTGTTTTTCAGTGCAGATGACAAAAAATAAAGTAACATACTAAGGACAGCTGGAACAAAATAGACTAGTGAAGTAATTGTCAAACTAGGACGAAAACTGCTGTAGACCAATTATTGCATGTACCTCAAAACGTCAAACAAAATTGCATTTTTCCACATTTTAAATCCTTGTGAATGTTCGGCACCATCCATCTGAACCGGTAATTTAAGCGGTCGATAATCTGCAGCTCAGAACAGCAAAGGACTGGCACTTAGGAAGGAGACCGCCTTTTCCTGCTCAACTTGAGACTGGATGAACAGTTTCTAAGAGTTGGAAAAATGCCTATAAAGTTGTGGAATGCGCCAATCATGCTGCTTTTGTCGCTGAGCTTTGTGAGTATGAGTACACGAATTTGTATTTACGTCGTCCTCGCCACCAGCGGATTTGCGTTAGGTAGAAACGTTTACCACATCTTTTAAACAAGTCTGACCGACATAGAGTTTACTGCATGACCAGCACCGCTATATAAAGAAAATGTACAGAGGATATTTACTGAATGCCGCTTTTCACTATTTACTACGGAGGCTGCCACTCTTCCGGTTGATGCCGCAGCACCGACTGCCCTCCAAAAAGAGGAGGGGAGTATTCCTGTAGTCACTCTGAAGCTCTTTGTAGCCTGCTAATACGCAACTGATGAATCTTCATTATTCCGTGTTTCGGTGATACTCATAACACAGCCGGGTGGTGTGCTTGTCACATCTATGAAATGTACGTTTTCGGTGCGAATTCTCTAACCGTCATTGCAAACCTTATCAGTGATTAAATCGTCAAACTGTCTAATGATGCCGTAATAGCTCTAGTAACTGAGCATTCGCTAGGTTCCCTGCTTGCTTTGCAGCGAACTCACATCTGTGAGAGTTGTCTCACTATGCTCCTCAGGTGGTCTCAGGGAATATACTTTGCACAAGCAAATAACCGAGTCAGAAGATTTGCCTTCTACATCATTCTCAGTTGCTGATGCAAAATCAAGCTCAACTTCGTCAAGATATGATTTAACCGTTTCATGGCTCCTATTTGCCTCATAGGAGCATTTAAGTAGGCCATAGCTCCGTGGTATTTGAATATCTGCAGTACCAGATTTACCTCGCATTGTTTTGTTCGCCCACATCACGAACGATGTTGCAGGAGATTGTACTCCTCATATTTTATGGCATAAACACCCACTTCTGTACATTGGAATTTGCTAGATAATACAAAACTCCTTCGAGACTAGATTTAATTCATGCTCAGGTTGCTAATGACGCTGTATTATGAGAACGCAAAGCCAAATGTAATTTCCGGGATTTGCAAACACGACTATTCGATTGTGAGTTCAATGTTTATGCAATTGAACCATTCTGACCGTAGCAAGAAATTGTCCAATGGATCAATATTTTACTAGACCTTTCTAGAAAGACAATGAAAGCATTGTGTTAATTCCCTTTCAAAAAGTAAAACCAGAAGAGAAGAGTCTACTTCTTTTGTGCATGAGTCTCTGGCAATTGGTAACGTAGATTTGATAATAACGAATTTATAGACCTGGAGAGCACTTTTCCATTGTTCATAATGGTGAATGGCCTCACATCAACCTCGCTGCGCCGGACACTGTGTACAGTGCTTGTGCAACGAGAAATTTACATCCACAATATGGCTTAACTGTCCTTACCATCAAAAGCCGAACTACAGAAACTATACTTCTGAAAGGAGAACTCAACTTCTGCAAGTCGCCTGCTGAAACCTGCGAAAGTTTAAAAATGATGATAAATTCGCAAGCGTCAACCGAACCGCAACTGGATACAAAACATAAAACTTTGGACTCATTCATCATGCTAAGATCATCAATAACTTGAAGCTAAACTACTATTTCATTGGTTTGCTATAGCTCCAAATTACGATGACAGCAAAACAAGAATAAATTATGGAATGGGGCAATAAAGAATAACTTTGTGGTTTGCGTTTTGACATAGAGATGTCTGATTCAAATTTAAAACGGAACACAGCCAATTATCTTAAGTCAAAAATTCATTCCATTGTTCTTTTCTCGTGCGGCCAACCGAGAGGCGGGCATCAAATAGCTGAGCAATAATGCAGCATGGTACTTCGGTGAAGTCATGCTAAAACAGGTGAAACATGCATTCATATTATCTGATTTGTGCACGTTTAGGAAGCTATTTGCCTCGACTTATTTTATAGCCAAAAATCAGCACAAAGTATATGGCAACTTAACTTAAGTACATTTAAAATATACGTGCTATAATGTTTCATGACGTAAGATATAATATACTTGACAATTTTTAATGTTACTGTAAGTAAACAACCGTGTGAAACGTTAGTAGATGGTGGATGTAGCGTAGTGATTGGTGGAAGTGGTGGAATTGAATTGTTTAGCCTTTTAGCATCAGTTCGAAGGCCAAAATTCTTCTAATGAAGAGAGCTATGTGCTGAAAAGTTTTGTATTCATGGAATAATGATGCGCTCGTGTGATGAACTTGAACAACAGAGGTAACGTTTGTCAACGGAGCGGGCGGGCGAACAGTCGATACCCATCGTGGTCATCGTCGTCCAGTCGTGCAGTTTCCAGGAATTTACGTCATCCGTCTTGTAGTGGTTTCAGGCCACGATGTAATCCAAGTGTAAGAGGAAACGGAGGTGGCGGAAGCGGGCGATTCGGCTTCGCAGGCGGAGCGTTTTTCGGAAACCGACCCCCTTACGCCGTACATCCGCCTCCGCCAGAGCTCCTAAGCTATTCTGGTCAAGACCTAAGCTCGTCTCCCGAAACGCAGAGTTCTTCAAGCGATGGTGGAACCAAGCGTCCGATTCCCGGCTTCTACTGGGACGATGTGCGACAGCGGTATTTCCGGATATTGCCGGACCAGTATCGCGGGTGTTCTCGGTTCGTCACCACCGCCGACGAGGTGAACAGGCATCGACGGCAGGAACTCGAGCAAGAAGAGGCATTATTGTTGAATCGGCCGTTCAGAGGATTACACCTGCAGTCGAAGAAAGAAATGGTCAGCCGTCAGCGATCCGCTCCCGCACTGCTGATGACCCCTGCTAGCCAACAAAGCCTGCCTCAAGGACCCCCCTTGCGTCAGCTAGTGGTCGGCCAGGAGTACGGCATGGTCAACCGCGAACATGTAAAACGCGTGGCCGCCGAGACCCGCTGGCGACGTAT